GTTGGTGCAAGAAAGTGACGTTTTGACAGTAACAAATAGAGACAACTCATTGTTATTATTTGATAAATTAAAATCTAAAATCTCTTCTTAATTAGAAATATTAAAATTATCACTGAAGATTTAGTCTTAATTATGAGTTTTTTTGTTAGGAAAAAAGAAAAGAAAAAAAGAGGCAACCACAAGTTTAGAAGGAAAAGGATGAGGAAACATTAATTGAGAGATGGTTTGTCATTGTCGAATTTGGATGGTGACTTTGTACTTCTTAGTTGATTGATGTATGTTGATTTTGTACTTCTTAATTTATTGATTAGTAATTTTTTTTTATAGGTAAATTTATACACCGGATCAAAATTTTCTCCTCAACGGTGTATGTATTGTGGTCGGTAAGTTATGTTTAGGATACATATTATCAAAATGTTAGGACGTTGGTTTTACATTTCAACATTTTTTTAACGTACATTACAACTTTCTCCTAACGTGCATCACAACACTTTCCTAATGTATATCCTAACACTTCTTTAACATGTATTCCAATTTTTCCCTAACATGTGTTCCAAAAAAACTCACCGACTGCAACATATGTACTGTTGCACCGAAGAGGATTTTGTTCCCGCGTGCACAACCATGCCCATGCTTGAACCCTAAGAGGTGGTCACTCAAGCCAAATTTTAGATGTTAATAAAGAAAATTTTGTACTCTACAGATTCTTTCTCACTATGTGTGTGTGTTTGTGTGTGAGTGTCTATTGACAGGCGTGTGCAATGGGATAGTGTTCTTCAGAGTTCAGATGATAAATCCCTTTAATAATGTGTTCGGAGTAAGAGATATCCTTTGATATAAAAAGTTATTTTATAGTAAGTTGAATGCTATATCACAACTCCTTTCATTATATTTTTATGATTCAAACGTTAGTTACTCCATAATACAAATGTTAGTTGGAAAAGTGTGTTGGTAGAATAAAGAAAGAAATAAATGGCCTCATGGCAGAGTTATAAATTGCCATGGACCACCCTTTTCTTAATGCCATGTAAATTGCAAGGGGTCAATGTGAACCTGACAAGAACTCCATTCCTACATTAATTTGCATTTGAATTTTTGGAAGAGCACACCATCTTGGACTAAGTTTAATCAAATAAACAAATCTACATGATTAATATTACTTCATATATTAAAAATTCAAACCAATCAAACAATAAACATCTATGAATTCAAATAATTAGGGTGTCATCCAAATTCAAACTCAAATAACATGTAAATTTCTCTCCAATTTTGGACTCTATTGATTCATATTATGACAACCAAATGATATGGTATCACTACTACATCCAAAATCCAAAATAATATTTGTCTCCAAATACTTAGAGGGCATTATCTGCTTTAGGCGGGTTAGGATCGGGTTATATTAATGGGTTGAACCCGATTTCACACGTGTGAAAAGATTGGAGGACCCTAGTACACAAATAAATGAAGCATATGGATCAAAATCAATAGAGTCAGAATGGTGTTTGAAAACATATGAGACCACATTAAAAGCATATATATATATATATATAGCTAGTGTTTTCAATGGGCTCATTGAATAATAAGAAAAGGGCAGTTTGTGGTGCATGTGCAATTGAATTATTAACTAAATAGCGACATAGCATACCTATCTCATGTCAACATCTTAAACAGAGCAAGTGTATGTAAGCAAAGTGTAAAACACCTCTCGGACCCAGCCCTCACCTTCAAAATCATCTTGTACCTAATATACATAGCATCTATTTATATATATATATATATTTATTTATTTATTTATATGTGTGTGTATGTGTCATATTCAACTTCTCATCAAAACTTTCTTCTATTTCTACCTCCTTCAATTTTTTTTTTGGTCTCTGGTTTCGTATAACAGCATGAAATTACTTGATCTATCCCAAAAGTGTTGGGCTCCTCTGGTATGGTCCAATAACCAATGGATCGTTTCAATATTGGGCCCTTTTCTAATGAGCCCATCCCCTGTATGGGCTCACCAATCGTGGGCTTGTAGCTTCATAGACCAAAAAAATTCAGGTCTAGAGGAGGAAAGTTGAATAAGCAACGGCCCTAAGTGAGGCTCAAATGAAATTCAGGTGGGAAAATTTCCAACATGAAACTTTAGAATCCATTTTGTTCCGTACGTTGTTCTAAAAATTATGAAACTAGAAAACAATTTTAAGAAAATTATAAAAATAAAATAAAAAATCGTTTTCAAGAATGAATTACATATTATTCTTTTTTTAATTCCTTTAGATACGAATTTGAACAGTAATATGTTTTTTTATTTTTTATTTGGTTATAAAAAAAAATCATTCTTAATAAACTTAATTGAACAGACTCTTTAGCAACACTGGGGGTAAAAATACTTGTACAAATAATTCAGCCAAGTATCAAAATTATAAAAAAAGAAGGGAGAGTGAGAAAGTGGGGTTCAAATTAGAGTCTTGATTTGAATCTTGGACTACTCACCTAGTGTCTTTGGTACCTTGGTAAGAAATTCACACATCCACTTTACTTTCATAGAATCTTGAACTGTTCACTTTTTACTTCGGAGTGTGAAAAAATACCACTAGGCTATATATCTTTTAGTTGGTGGTGGTAATTAAAAGCTTGATTTGAGAAGTTTGTATATGGTAGAGTCCAAAAGACAGTGAAAAGGAGGTCAGTTTGATAGACAGGAGTAGGACTTGGTTTGTACTGGGACCTCTTGGTATTATGTATATGAATCTTGTTCTGCTACTTGGGAGTACTTCTAATTAAGGTGATCATGGTGGCAGAAGTAGTGGTCGGACTATGGTCTCTTGCTTGCTAAAGGAGGAGCATTTCAATGGTCTCTACTACTCACAACATTCTCTCACTGATTCCATCTATACACACACACACATATATATGCCTCCTCTTTTCCAGTCTTTGTTCTCCAACACTAGCAGCCTTTTCCCCATCATATATATATATATATATATATATAGTTATGTCTTTCTTCATTTTATGCAATATTGTTGCCCTTTTTATGGGAGTAATGATTTTCAGCTTTCACCGTTACAATGGCCCCATAACAACTTCATAATTATGGTAGAAAAGAGCATCATGATTTTATTGCGAGCAATAAAAAGTTAAAAACTATCTACCAGAAGGGACACTTGATTTGATAATATTTAATTTTTAAGCCGGTTCTTGATGACGGATAATAATTTTTGGACCTAATAATCTAGTCGAGAACCTAATAAAGAGATTTTTATTCTAGAGAAAATTAAAATTTTGACCTCATCCAATTCATTCAGGGACATAAATCACTTTATTAGAATTTTGAACTTAGCATGATCCTTAGATGACAGCTAAATTGATTATTAAATTTAAATCTAGTGAAGCAAACTAGTGTGTAGCAAGAGCGCAAGCTTTGTGATTTTGGGAACGCTCGTACTCAATCCCATGTAGACCGGAAGAGCTCATTTATTTATTTATTTATTTATTTTTCATAATTAATAATTTAATACTAGGCATCTAAATGCTTTTGAGGTACCTATGCCAAATATTTATTTTCAGTCTTATCTTCATTTGATTTTATAAAGTAAAACTTCTCAGCAAAGGGCCTTAAATATTATAGTCAACACATATCATTAAAATTTAAGTACACAAGTCAATCAATCAGTATACAATGTAAAAAAAAAAGTAATAATAAATAAATAAATAAAATTTGGAGAACCTTATAAGCTTCGTTTAAATTTATATGTACGATTGTGCCTCAGAAGAATTAGGCGATCGCCTAAGCCCCAATTAATAAGAGGCATCAAAAATTTTTGATTTCTTTATATATTCTATCTTTCCTTAAAAAAAAATTTCTTCTTTTATTAAACCTAATAAAGCGATTAGACAGTGAGCCTAAAAGATTTCTATCCTTTTTTACCTTCTTTGAAAATTCGGCCTAAAATATTTTTATCCTTTTTCACTTCTTTTTCTTTATAACCTACCTAATTTTTTTTTGGTAAATAAGTATGAAATAAAAGAGAAACTATACATTTTTTCTCTCTCTTATCCTCATTACAGCGGGCGCAAACATATATATCCTAGTGAAAAATGGTGAAACTTTTAATATTTTTCTAAGAATCTTGTTAACTTTTATTTTTTTTCCCCCTTATTCCTCCCATATTTTCATCCTTTCCCATTTAAACAATTTTTTTAATCATTTCCACTCAATACTCATTACAATTTATAATTAAAATATCTCACTTGATTTTTAATACATTTTTATTGTATTGAAGAATTTGTTGGAGCATTGGTTCGAAATCAGCTTCTATTGTTCTACAATTTAAATTATTGTATAGTTTTATTGTAAAATTATATATTTTGCTTGTGAATTGTCATCATTTTTATTTATATTGTTGAATATTAGAAAACACAAACCAATTAATTAACTAAAGATGAAATCAGAGATTGAAAAAATTCTTAGTGTTAAGTTAAAAATCACAAAACAATTAATGAGCCTATTTACTAACATGAACATATAGATAAATTTGATTAAAATATCACTTTATTTTTTTCGCTTAGAATCTCAAATTATATTGAGCCCCAATTCGTATAATCTAATTGATAGTACAAAGCAAAGTGAAATAATTAAAGATATATAAAGTCAAGCTTAAAAACCTAACATTAGCTTCAACATATGAATGAATACCAAAGATTTATACAAGGATTCATTCTCAAAGTTGGTCATATTTGAGATCCAATCATGAATTAGCCTCCAAACAATGTGTGGTGTATAGAGTAAATGTAGTTTATTAGGCATGGAAAAATAACACATTGGTTGGAGTAAGGAACAAATATATATATATACACACACACACACACACACACACACACACACATTAAATCCTCTTCCATCCAAATGTGGTGGTTGCACGAGATGGAGGAGGTGGCGCATTGACCACCCTGAATGTATTAAACAGAAGCCCTTACCAACCAACTTCACCCATCTGAGTGTGGGTGTGTGAAATGGGTGAGTGGGTCCCAAGTTCCGAATAGGGAGGTATAGTAAGGTGGTTGGAATAGATGGAACAACTCAACAGAAAGAGAGAGAGAGAGAGTCGCGTGACATGAGATATATATAAACTCCTCAATTCCTTCCCTCTCTTCTCACCCATCTTCTATTCTCTCTTTTTTCCTCCCCACGTTTTCGCTTCTTTGCCGCTCATCACAGATCCCATATTCACTCACAGAGGTACGTTGCTATTCACTTCCCTCTGTACTTATTTGGATTTAAAAAAAAAAAAAAGAAAGGTTATTGATTAGATTTAGATCTCATTTTCTTGATTTCTTCGATTAAGATCTTAAATTAGTGAACCCATACTATTCAGTTTCTCAAAGTTTCGCATTCTTGCATCCTGCATTTGGTTTTTAGATCTATTGTATGCTCATAAGATTGATGAACATTGAGGTGTTGGGAGGGTGGGGTGGACTCTATACTGACCTAACCTTTAGTATTATTTGTATGAAGTGACTGTTTTAGGAATTTAAATCTACCCTTTAGCATTATTTGTATGAAGTGATTGCTTTCGGGATTTTAACCTATTCTTTAGCATTATTTACACGGAGTGACTGCTCTCGGGATTTGAACCTACCCTCTCATACTTGAGAGCCCGACCATTTTTACCAATGCTCCAAGCAATGGCCACTTGCTTTAGATCTATCTTGCTGATGGAATTATTGCTTGGACATGATACGGTCCTATTTTTAGCATTATTTTGCATGAAGTGACTTTTTTAGACTTCTCTAGGAATTTGAACCCATTATCTCATTTTGTAATCTTAGGATTTGGTTGGTTTGTAATTATGGAAACAGTTTTCGAAAAACTGCTTGGTTAAGTTTTCTGAAAACTCAAAGTCATAAAAAGACCTGTTTTTAGAGAATAATATTTTATAGTACTATGTTTTTTTGAGTTTTTAAGAACTTTTTTTAGAATTACAAATCAAGCAAGCCCTTAGCATTTTTAGCAATGTACCAAACAATGGCTCCTTTTAGATCTATATATGTGATCGTGAATTTTGTGGTTAATTAAGTTGCCCATTGCCAGTTTTGATTTTCTTATGATGAAGTTACATTGAATCAGAGTTTAATGGATCACTATGGTGGTATTAACCAGAAAAATGAAGGTATTCTATTTAGTTTCCATGATTTAATTTTATTAGGTTGCAGAGCGTATTGGCATGTACAGTGTACTGAGCTGTGATCTAATAATTAATCCATTTGTGGTCACATGCACATAATGGATTATGATTAATCTATCTCTATGTACTACTTGGTACTGGCAAAAACTTGGATGAGATGTGAAACCCCTTTTTTATCTGGTACTATGTTTGATATGAAATACTTTTTAGTAAATGACAAGTGGATGAAAACTCTGCAGATTTAAATAAAGGGAACATAAAATGTAGGATTTATGTAGTTTTAAGGTTTGAAACTGCTTCTGTTTGTTCTATTTTGCTCTTTTGTTTTTTTTTTTTGTTTTGACCTTTTTCCCTTCTGAGTCAGTTAAAAGGAAAATATAATGACAGATAAATGAACAATTTGATCCTGATTTCCTTCAGAATAGTATACTGAAAATACTTCATTTACTCTGTTGAGCTGATAGGGATGTGGTTAAATAACAAGGACACATCATTTGTTACTGGCTAAAATAATAAATAAATTGAAAAACTCATTAAATCAAATTCTTTCGAGCAATTAATGGAACCAGATTGATTGGAAGATTTGATGAATGAGATAATCATAAAATCGTGAGATGAGTAGCGTCATGAGTAGTTTCCCAGTTTTTTAAGTTAGATTGATCGTATTTTTGCTATATTTTTGGCTTCGGCAACACTTCAATTCTTACCGTACTTTCTAGATTGCTGAGTTTGGGTATGTGTTGCGGTAGAAATTATTGCTAATCCATGGTAGCTTATGGTTTTATCTTTCTTATGAAGTTACCCTTGCACTGCAGAGAAATCTTTTACTGTAATGTATATATGCAACTTAATCTTCTACATAATGTTACAAACTGAAGTGTCACAAGAATTTGGACCTCGAAAGTTGAAATATTTAGTTCTTGTAGCATCATACAAACATTATGAAAGCTTAAATAAAAATAAAATAAATAGAAAAAAAAAGAAGAACAAGGTACCATGACAAATACAGTGCATGCATGCTTTCTACTTTTGTTCTAAACTACATATTATTTGTTTGTTTTTTTTCCCATGTTACATGGACTCTTTTAAAATCTCTGAAGTCTGTGTTGAGCACCTGACACTTGGACATATGAGATATGTGCATGACACTTTTGGTTTAACATGCGCCTAATAAGGACATTAAATAATATCTGTATTGAGCCATGTTCCCATGTCCTTTAGCTTGAATATTTGACATAGTCGCATACATACACCCAATACATAACCCTAAATCCATGCAAAATAGGTTATTTCTTATTTCACATGTACCCAAAGACAATTGTAAGACTCCAGTAAAATGCTGCTATGGAGGTACCACAAGCCATTTGGGATAAAAATGCTTAGTATTTGATCCCACGTTGCTCTCAATAGGAGGATGGTGCATTGATAGCACAAAAAAAAACCTTGGAAATTTGTAGAAGATTTACACAACAACTCAGTAAATTAGAGACTTTTAGACATAGTTTGAGCCATATTACTCTTCGAAGTAGAAGCAGTATATGGAGCAAGAATAATGTAGTTGTTTGGTCAATGGATTATAAGATTGTATGTGTTTCAACCAATAGCAATAAAAGCATATGTATTTTGCTTTTCTTTTTAGATTCTATTTATATTTTATACATTTAACTCCTCCTGGATCATTGCTATATCTTGAAATTTTAGTATTTTTATCTATTGGCAAAGAACTGACACATACTTTAATAAACTGTGTCAATCTAGATATGGAAACCTTCCTCTTCACCTCAGAATCAGTCAATGAAGGCCATCCTGACAAGCTCTGTGATCAAGTCTCAGATGCCATCCTCGACGCTTGCCTGGAACAAGATCCAGAAAGCAAAGTTGCCTGTGAGACCTGCACGAAAACTAACATGGTTATGGTGTTCGGTGAGATCACAACTAAGGCTAAAGTTAATTATGAGAAGATAGTTCGAGATACTTGCAGGGGGATTGGGTTCACATCACCTGATGTTGGCCTTGACGCTGATCACTGCAAGGTTCTTGTCAACATCGAGGCACAGAGCCCTGACATAGCCCAAGGAGTTCATGGTCACCTCAGCAAGAAGCCTGAGGAAATTGGAGCTGGTGACCAAGGTCACATGTTTGGTTATGCCACTGATGAAACACCTGAACTCATGCCTCTGACTCATGTCCTTGCAACCAAGCTTGGGTCCAAGCTCACTGAGGTGAGGAAGAATAAGACATGCCCATGGTTGAGGCCTGATGGTAAGACTCAAGTGACTGTTGAATACCGGAATGAGGGTGGAGCTATGGTCCCTATTAGAGTTCACACTGTTCTCATCTCAACCCAACACGATGAGACTGTCACAAACGAGCAGATTGCCAAGGATTTGAAAGAGCACGTGATTAAACCTGTCATCCCAGCCCAATTTCTGGATGAGAAAACCATATTTCACCTCAACCCATCAGGTCGGTTTGTCATTGGTGGACCTCATGGTGATGCAGGACTCACTGGTCGGAAGATAATTATTGACACCTACGGTGGTTGGGGTGCTCATGGTGGAGGTGCTTTCTCAGGGAAGGATCCTACTAAGGTGGACAGAAGTGGTGCATACATTGTTAGGCAGGCAGCCAAAAGTGTAGTGGCTTCAGGACTTGCCCGCCGTTGTATTGTGCAGGTCTCTTACGCCATTGGTGTGCCGGAACCATTGTCTGTGTTTGTTGACAGTTACAAGACAGGGAAGATTCCGGATAAGGATATATTGGCTCTGATTAAGGAAAACTTTGACTTTAGGCCGGGAATGATTGCAATCAATCTTGACCTCAAGAGAGGAGGCAACTACAGGTACCAGAAGACTGCTGCTTATGGTCATTTTGGCCGTGATGACCCAGATTTCACGTGGGAGACTGTTAAGATCCTCAAGCCAAAAGCTTGAGTCCGTGAAATAGACGGAAAATTCTTTCTGCAAACACATTTCCTGTTGCCATTTTATGGATGTGGAAGAATAAAGAGAGCTTCATTGCATACTTCATCCAACATTGAAGTGCTTTTTGTGAGGGTTCTGTGCGAGGCAGGATGATTGTTTGCTTTATATTATCACAGTTTTAGCAGCCCAGGGTGTTTGATTCACGTGTTCTCTTCCCTATCCCTTTTCTGCAAGTGCTTTTTTCAAAATCACCCTTCGGTTTGCTGAGGTTTTAACCCTTTCTTATCATTTAATTTCTCTCAATTTGAATTTATCAACAAGTTCTCATTGGAAATTTAAGTTGTTAAAATTGAAGGGCATTTGATTTTTTATTTTTATTTTTTTATTTTATTATTATTTTTTTTATGCCATACATGTGGGCCATTCTTATGTCTTAATCTTCTTGCGAAAGCAAGTATTAGCTGCTTATGCAGTTGCACTTTGCTTTATCAATAATCAAGACTACTTCAATGTTGGCACACTGGCTGCTTAATGTTTTATATTCCACTACTTGTACTTTTGATAAGCAATTGTTTATGAATAGTTCGGAACAATTTCATTTCAAGCTTGGCTCAAGTTTCTCCCTAAATAAACATTTCAAAACTCATTTAATAATTGAGCAGAATCCTAACATTGTTTTGGATACTATTATGTTTGGTAGCTCCAAACTGGATACTATTATGTTTGGTAGTACCGAAATGGTGCTCGGATTTAGAATTAAAAAAAAATTAATTCAAAATTTGTATTAAATTTCTCGAATAGCAAAATTATTTTCATAAAATGGGGATAATATCCGTGTCCCATGGTTCTAACTTTTGATTCAATTTCAAATAAATTCCAAACTTGGTCCAAACATTGAGGTTTCAATTCCGTGAAATTGTTTGTGTTCTATATTCTAGCAGAACAAACATTGACCTTCGTAAACTATATAAACACCTCAAGAAACAAAAGTACTTCTAGCTGGGCTGCAAAGAACATGAGGGGATCAAGTTGTTGCCATCATCACACAAGGCCATCCTCACAATTACAAAAATGATGCTGCCTCACGGACATCAATCATCCAACATATATAAATGGACCCTCCATTTTGTCAATAAATTTAGCTAGGGCACACAACATGCATCTTCAACACCGCAATGCAGTCAAGGCCGTCAAATCCATAACCTATAAAGTGTCGTAGTGCCCTCCTACATGTCACTGCAGAAGTCATCTTCAAGATTGGAACGCTTCTCTCCTGTACATCTGTTGCTCCAGCAAAACAAACCGCAAATTATTACAACTCCTTTTAATAGCCCACATTGTCCTCTAATAAGGAGCACAAGGATTATTGGTTAAAAATGAAGTATGAGAGTACTGATTTGACTTGATTCAATCAACAAATAAAAAACTCATGAAAAACCCAAAGGTAATTATTCCGACTTGATTGGAAGCAGCAGTACTCAGATTCCATCAAGTTGACTTGGAATCAAATGAAAACAATAAAATCTTACATTTTCAGGTTGTTTAATTTTAAACCTAATTTAGGGACACCATCAGTTGCAAGCGCATCCCACTTCATTAACTGACGAGCATTTATTGAATGTTTTGACCATAGTTAAACATAAACATTTATTTTTATATAGATATAAATAATCTGCACCCACCCCCCGAGTACATGCTTCAACAGGAATCACACAAGGGTAGATTAGAAACCACTGAAGTCTAGATTTTCTATACAATCTTGTTTAAGGAAATCCAAATGGACTACATTCCAAGTTCAACAAACCATCAAAATAACCCCAAAAACCAGTAGAGAGCAACCAAACTAACCAGTCTGCACTTCCAACGCTGAGTGACATGGATCCATATGTGGCGACAAACAAAAGAATAACATATAAGCCAGTCCCTTGCCCGATAAGAAAGGTTACCTGCAACAAAATTTAGGGCAGTAAGACTAAAGCAATAGTAATTGTTGTATTTATTATATTGATTCCCTCACATTAATCATGATCCAACCCAAGTATTCAGAGCAAGGCACATTGATAAAATTATTTCCAATATCACTCAACAATACGAAGCCTGATCTCATTTATCCGGGGTTGGTCAATTTAAATTATCACTTGAAAATATTTTTCTTGACAACATGATGGACTGCTATGAGAAGTTACAGAACCAAAAGCTACGCGTATGTTTGGACATCCCATAAGTCGTCAATGTTTCCATGGCTCTTTGAATACAAAAATCCATCATCTTTAAAACCAATATCAAATCTGAAGCCATCACCACGAATGACAATAAAAATGTTAAATGATGATATTCCAAAATTTTGAATTGGATGCAGGACAATCTTTAAAGGTTAGAATTCGATGTGGATCCTGAGGTGTTATGGGTTGTTATTTGGTGCACAATTTTAAAAACAGTGGTGGTTCAAAAGGTCTAAACATCTTTTAGTCATTTACATGATTTTTGTTGGCTATACAAGGTTTGGTAATTTGTGCATCATGTACACCATTGTCTACATTTCAGTGGGAAAAAATGAAAAACAATACAAAAAATGAAAAAAGCCTCGTAAAAGTTACATTGTTGTAGCAAATTTTAAAAGAGTCAACTGCCAAGTAATATTAAATGGAAAACAAAAGGGGGAAGAAAAAAGAAAGAAGTAAGCTTTGTATTGATCACGAACATAAACATTTAGAAACCTAACTTCTCCCAAACTTGACCAATAGAAACTAGAAAACTTTGGGTAGAGATTCTCAACTTTATAAGTTTTTTCAACATTCTTGTAATTGTTAGCGTGACCAATTTGATGAAAAAGAACTAACTCAGAATCATAGATAAATTAGTAGCAGCATCAATACGCAAGCGCGTGTGTGCTCACACACACACACAACCGTAAGATATAGCTCAGAGAAAAATGGAAGTTTAAGAGTTATAAGCAATTGACATAGCTGGACTGATTCTGTATATGACAAAAAAAGTCCACATAAATGAAGTGAAATTGGAAAAGGACACAGGAAGTCTACTGCAAAAAAGGGAGGGGGTGAAAGAAAGGAAAGTTACCTTTCCACATACTTGGAAGAAAAAAGTTGTATGCTGTCCTCACTCAAACAGCTGAGTAATCCGGTGCTTAAAGCATGTGTATACTTCACATCGCGAATAGGATGTTTCAGTGATTTGAGATGCTCAACGACCATTAAAGAAGGCAAATCTTGCAAGACCAATTCACCTGTTACTTCATCCCCATAAGCAAACAATGGGTTGTGGTTCTCTCTGTCTATAATTGCAGATTTTGGCAGTCGAATATCATTTACATTGGCATATGTAGATCCTAATATTTGATATCCTTTGCTACCCACTCTCTTATAAAGAACATGTGAGCCCCGCACTGCTTGCCCCATGAGAGAATTGGAAGGGGTAAGTGAAATTTGAGAAACAGCCATGTCACTAGACAACTCAACCTTAGGCCGGAATGAAGCAACAATGTCATTACCGCTAGGACAGTAAGCAAGAGATATACAAACTCCTTGATTCTTCGATTCAGGAACCAAAAATGGCCTTCAATAGAAGTTGATAAATTGTTAAATCATTCAATCATAAAGCAGATGGTATAACAAGGGGGGGGGGGGGGGGAGAGAGAGAGAAATTGACCACATAAACATTACTGCCATTCTTATGTTAAAAGGCACTCCGATTTGAATCACTTAGAAAAAGTTGGGTATTTATCCACGATGCAATTAAGCTCCAATTACTCCTGATATGAAGCATTTTAACTTAAAATGTCCATGGAAATTGATTTGATGTGTTTTTTGGTCAAGATTTGAATCTTTGCTTGTAGGAGGGAGTGTCAATAAAAATTGGAACATTTCTAAAGCAACAAAAGTGACGTTCAGTCACGGAGAGCTCTCTAATGACACAGAAACACTTGAATATAAGTGGATACATGTGTATGTTTTAGTTGGTGGCGGTGATTGGAGAGAGGGAGGCCACTTCTAGAAAGGTTGGCAATGTGTCGAGTGAAACAGTGACCCCATAGAATCGGAGAGGTCTGATGACACTATGGCTGCAAATTGTATGTGTAGAGAGTGAGATAACTGGAATTAAAGATCAAAGAATCAGCCAAGAGGGGGTACTTGGAGATGAAAAATATGTGCCGTTAAACCCCCATTTTTTGGCCAGGGAAACTATTTGCTAAGGAAGTTGATATCCACTATGCTTATTCAACTCAGTTTCTTCCCCCTTCATAAGGATGAGATGATTTCTAGAACGAATGAGAAATTCAAGATTTGCCATAACCATAAAGCTCTATAGTTAAATGATCAAAACAAGTACAATTATCGAGTTCAATACAAAGAAGTATATGGACAGACCTTTCTTCAACGCCACCAACGTTCCAATGACACAGGCCAACTGAAGAGGCGGTTAATAGGGTTCTAACACCAGGACAGAGAGTTAGATCAGGCGAAAGAGAGATCACGGTATGAATTGGGTTGCATGTCAAACCAACCATAGATTCAACAGGCCTCATAGTTTGTCGCATATCAAACACCATAAGCATGCCATTCTGCATTATTTAAAAATAAATAAATAAATAAAAATATATAGCTATATGAAATCACCACCCTAGATCATCAAAATCAGCAGAACACAATTGAGAATGGGACCTGTAATCCTGCGTACATATAATGTGAACTGTTGAGGTCCCATGAACATGACCAAGCAGCAGCCTGGAAAAACAACATTAAACAGGAAAATTACTTCTTTCAATCTAAAAAGAGGAAAAAATTTAAAAAGACTGTCTTTGATAACAACTATAACGATTTAAGAAACAAAATAACCAAAAAAAGAGGTCGAAAAGACTGTAATCGGCAAGATCTTAAATCAATAGGTGAAACAATGCTCACATTCACACATAGTAAATCATACTTTTGTTGGCCTCATAAATCAATAAACACATTTTTTTCCCTTCCTCACTTAGTATCATACATTGAAGGAAGGTTTTCCAGCATTTTCACAGCAGTTGCTATGGAATTACCCAATTATTGTACAAGGCCGACCACAGTCACATCGTAAATACATTTTTCCTTGCCTCATAAAGTACTAAACACGTTTCTCTTTCCCTGCTTTGAATCATAACTTGAAGAAAAGTTCTCTACAATTTTCACAGCATTTGCTAAGGAGTTACCTAACTTTGGCTCACACACAATCATTCAAAGTAAATCGGGTCCTGTTAACCGTAGCAATCATCCAGGACCAGAACTATGATGAAATGTACCATTTTTGGGGAACTATGATGAACCATAATCTAATATCCAGAAGTTTATTAATAAACATCAATATCATGACATGGGCAGAACTTTTACCGGTAAATCATAAGTAAGAACGATATTGTTGCTTTCTGTACTGAAACAAACAAAACAACAAACTAATATTACTTCCATGGAAGGAGAAGAATATACAAAAGAAACAGTTTCAAGAAGTATAAAGCTAAGAGCTACCTGATAACTGATAATTTCTTCCCCAAGGATGCCAGTAGTGCAAGTCTGCCATGAGGGGAAACACGCAAGTCCTTAACAGCTTTTGTATTGACAGGAAGCTGAATATTTTCTCTTTCATATGGAGCTATCAAGCTCATCTGCAAAACCAAGGTTTAAAAAACTTCAAGAGACGTTAAGAGCATATAGCCACTAATTTCACTTCATGACAAAGCCAAAAAACTTTACTTTGGTAAGCACATGCATTCCTCCAATTCCGGACAGTCTTCGGGCAATTATAAGAATTTGACTAGAAGCATCCACATCAAAGAATCGAGCACCATCTACCTGCAACTCTTTCTACAATATAATGACATTGTTCAGTTATACAAAGGCAACTGAAAAATGGTACTGGAACGATAACTTAACTCAAGAAATAAAACATATCAGAGGATCATGTAATAATAACAAGTGACGAGCGAGAAACCAGAAAAGCAACATTAATAGTAAGTGTTTGTGTATATAAAGCTGACACAAAACTTTAACTGATAATAAAAGCAGACTCAGAATTATCACTCGAACATCACCCAGAATCTGATCAAAAGTGACACAGAAGGAATGAAGCAACATTTTTGGACCTCTTTATCTTCCAAAACTCTATAAAGCTGACACAAAACTTTAACTGATAATAAAAGCAGACTCAGAATTATCACTCGAACATCACCCAGAATCTGATCAAAAGTGACACAGAAGGAATGAAGCAACATTTTTGGACCTCTTTATCTTCCAAAACTCTATAAAGCTGACACAAAACTTTAACTGATAATAAAAGCAGACTCAGAATTATCACTCGAACATCACCCAGAATCTGATCAAAAGTGACAAAGAAGGAATGAAGCAACATTTTTGGACCTCTTTATCTTCCAAAACTCCATTTCCTTTTATGTAAAGCGCGTTTAAAAATGTTTTAAAAACTTACAGGTGTTTGGCTGACTGTAAAATGTTTATATAAAACACTACTTACCAACAGGCCTGTGGCTTAGCGGTACCGGGCCCCTACTTCCCAAAGGGAGGTCAGGGGTTTGAGCCTCAGTGGAGGCATGTGTGTGTAAGTACCAACTAAAAAAAAAAAACTACTTTTGGGAAAATTAAAAATACTGTAAATTATATGAAAATGAAAGGGATTCCTTTTTTGCTAGTCATTTTTCTGAAGACACTTGGAGCTCAGGCCCAAACATTAAACATGTATATATATGTTTTTTTTTATATATATAAAATTTCATAGAAGGCACTCGGGAGCGCTCCCAAGGAATAGACAAAAATGCCAAAGGCAACAACTAAAGCTTTAAACTATCCACAAAATCCAAAAGATCCCCCAAAGATTTACAATTCCGCCTGTTAACCCAAAAGAATAAAGTATGCAATATAGTGTATTAGAGAGACCAAATAGGAGTCTCCTTGCCCTCAAAATGTCTCCTATTTTTCTCGTGCCACAAACCCCAAAGACAAAGAGGAGTGGTCCTCCAAACAACCTTGTCTCGGCTCCCCACTAGACAACCTTTCCAAGCCTCAATCAAATCCATCATGGTTCTAGGAAGCACCCAAACCATGCCAAAAACACAGACCAAACATCCCTTGCCACCGGGCAGTGAATAAGGAGATGATTCACTGATTCCTCCGTCTTCTTGCACATACAACACCAATTAGCCACGATTTGTCATCTCCTTCTAAGATTGTCAAGGGTGAGAATGCTACCGTGGGCTGCACACCAAGCAAAGAAGGCCACCTTCAAGAAGGCGACTAGAGCAGGGGCTGCTGCGGTGGTGGAGGCGGCGCAACCAGCGGCAGCACAAGCATGACATGCAGTGCTGGGAGAGGAGATATATTTGTATAGAATATCACCTATATATATATATATATATATAATAAATCTATATTTAATTTCTAACTTTCTGTTTAATACACAAACTATATCTTTAATCCAAATATTAATTATTTATCAAAATTTTAAAATGGTAAAGGTATTTCTGTCCAAGATATTATGGTTTAAATGGTAATTTCATATGGTTAATAGGGTTAATTATGTCATTTAGATGCATCTAAAGGCATTTTTGGAATTTCAGAGTTATATCTTTAACTGGACTAACTGTCAACTGGCGGTAGGGAAGGTCAGAGTAATTTCATGCAAAACCTCAAGGGAGGTTGACCACATTTTTCAAAAATCTTTTATGCAGTGTTGTTTTCTCCTACCTCAAGAGAGGTCAGAGTAAGTTACCCACAAAAATAATTAAACTGTGCAACAGAAACCAGTCAATATCAAAATAAAGGAAATTTTCAACATATTCAATTGGTTAGCTAAATCAATATACATATATCTTTTCAATTTGATATAAATTCAATTATATCAATATATAATTGGAACAATTCAAGATATGCAACACAACTAATAAAAAATTCTCTAAAACTGGAATATCAACTAAGAGGATCGGGCAAACTAATGTGCATAAATCCTTCAATATGCATTGTCTTAACCAAATTAAATGTGAAACAATAAAAACTACAATCATGTAGAACTTCAAAAATATATTATCTTAGACATTCAGAATCAAACACTACATTCAATTAATCTTAAGTAGCCAACTATAAATATATGAATTATGTCAAGTACTTTATTTAAACAATATGAACCATTAAATATGATTGTGATTTGATATAGAACATTCTAATTTAATAATCATTAAGAAAATGATATGAATAAATGATTAAAAAATTAAAAAAAAAAAGGTACTTTTTTTCTTTTTTAGCCTGGAGCCTACTAAAAACTGTGAATCTGAGGACTTTATGTGAGTGAGCATGACTGAAGAGAACTGGCAGTTGATCTTAATCCTAATTAAATTCAATCCCAGCATTAGCTCATCCTAAAAGAAATAAATAACTGATATTAATAAACTCAAATACCCGTGATACCTCAGCCACAGTTACGTGATCTACAATAGCTACGTAGTACCAGTAAACAAGAACTGTTAATTTACTATGGAAAGTACTGCATAACTTTCCCAAAATTACTCCTGCATTAGCGTCTTAATGTTTGTAACCCTACCATAAACTAAGTTAAATTCATACTTTTGTGCCTAAAAATAGAAAAGTTTTATTGTCTCCCAAGTATAACTGTCATGATTCACAAATGAAGATATATCAAATTTGTAGTAGATTTTCTTTCTTTTTCTTTGTTGAGCAAAGGAGATATACATTAGAAGAAAACAAAGAAAATGACAAACCTGCAATATAAAGCTGCTAGAGGATCCTTGCCTGCCAAATTCTTGATCATTATGTCCTATTAGACATGTAAAAAGGATCAAAATTTTAATCACAAATCAGGATATAGTAACATATCATTACCATGGAATAAATCACGCAAAAGGGAAAAAATAAATAATCCAAAACAAGTAAATAATTCAAATATCTCATCCATCAAGCAAACATTTTTCATCTAAAGGAATTATTACCGAATATCACTTGTTCTTGACAAACCCCACTTGCAGTGAATGATCCCAGTGGCCTGCTTTGTGAGTCTTCCAACAAACGCTCCAAATAACTTGACCTCTGAACCACAAATTTAAAATTGAATAATATGTTACAAAACGAAAAGAAAAAAAATGGAAATAGCTCCTTTTAAGCCCAAAAGTTAATGCTTAATATTCTGAAAACATATCCAGATATTAGAAGGGAAAAAATCTACAAATAAGCAATAACATACAAAGGGACAAATAAGGGGGAGAAAATATAAAAATAATAATAACAAATAAATAATCTGGTCAACAAGGTGCACAAGGACCAGTTACATCTTCTTAAAAAAGAGTGCGGCGGAAAGGTAAATGTTTGGATGTGTGGTAATACAAGAAAGGATAAATTTATAAGTTCATGGGACAATTGAGTAGCATTTATTGGAGATAAATAAGAGACAATCGATTAAGATAGTTTGACAATATGCGGCAAGGACCAATAATTGCGAGGAAGAAGCAGTCTACATTGGGGGATGCTGAGGGTAGAGGAAGACCAAACCTAATATGGATTCAGTTGATAAAAAAAGATAAGAGAGTGTCTGAACTGACTGAAATTATGCCCTAAGGTAGAGTAGAATACAGAAAAATGATTTATATTGTGATACTAAATAATTGGAAAAAGGCTGAGTTGAGTCAACTAAACTAGAATATGGAAGCCAAGGATTAATGTCAGCACAGTCAGGATATGCAATACATGCAAATTGCAGTGAATCACACTAGAAACATTTTCAAGGAATAAAAAACTGAAGGCAATATCCATAGTACTTCTTGATGCTGAAAAATGTGGGGAAAATGTTCAATTACATCCAGAAAGGAATCGCAAATAAAACTAAACATGCCTCCGTAAGTTGGTTTATTTTTAGGCACAGATCAGCTTCTTTCCTCTGCCACTCAACTTCTTTCTTACACCATTGAGCATCCTGCACACACAAGTGCCACATCTATCAGTAAAAATGCAAGGAAAATGGAAATGAAATCCTTGAAGTAAAGATTGCATTGCTTTGAAAATGGTATCATGGACAGTAGTCACAAAATAATTTGCAATATTGGAAACATTATTTAACAGAAACAAAGGAATCCATAGAACAGAACACCAAAACAATTTTTTATTATTATTTTTTTCTCCGTTTTAAGGGGGAGGAGGAGGAGGGGGAAAGTGTCAATCTCAAACCATATAGAATGTGCAAGTAAATGGGTTTGCCCCAAAAAACCACAAACTTAATTTGTTACACCATCTTCTTTAACCTCAAATACAATAACACATCTCCTACCTCAAAAACAAATCTGCTACCTCAAACAACTCTTTTACAAGGCCTCAGAGCTTAAAATAAGAAAATTTACTTGAAGGTTTGCTATCGCAAAACATCAGAAAAATAAGAAGTTATACAACAATTGTCAAAATCATCTCATGCAAAATATATAACACCATCCTTTTGAAAAAAAAGAAGGATCTAAGAGGCATGGACATGGACACGATATGACACGGATACGCCAACACGTCAAATTCTTTAAAAGTAGGACACGACGTGGACACAGATAATATAAATATAAATTTTCGTCTACAAATCTATTGAATGAGACGATCATAGAACTTCAATTAATTTATAAATTCTATACTAAAGTTACATAAGTTAGAAAATGACAGTATTCGAATATCAAAAAGAAAATGTTATATTTTATACGATATTACTATCCTATCTTATCATAGTTATGGTTTTTGTTCCTTAGAAGTTGAACACTTTGACGTATGTTGTTTCTAGGACTGTCGTGTATTTGTTTTATATAAGACAAAAAGTGTAGAATGTGTTGGTAGAGTTTCCGGAATGGGTTGACCAAGTGACCGAGATGTGTCGACCAAGTGCCCAAATAATAAAATTGATTTAAAATAATGGACACGGCCAGGTATTCTAGGCTAACTTGGTCAACTTTTTTTTGGTTCTGAACCCTCATCTCGTAAACATATAATGACAAGTATGTGCTACAGGGAACAATATTATAATGAGTTATTTTAGCCAAAAACAAAAGAATTAGATGGAAGGACTGATCCCCATCCAGCCATAGATACAGCAGTTAAAAGTCATATAAAATACCATGACTTTGTTGTACCAGTTAAATGGCAAAGTTAATACAACCGGACATTAAGTAATAGAATTGCTGAGCTCCAAGTCCATTAGGGCCATTTAACAGCCATTAGGACTTAAGAGTCACAGCAAACTGTAACAGTTGCTGCACACGGAGGCCATGGGGGTTCATAATGGATGAAGGCTATCTAAGGTCTTAAAAAATCATTTAAGCTCCTTTTATCTTCTTTAATGGTCAACAACTCGATAACCTCTAAAACCTTGCCTGTAAAATGTATCTATTCTCCAAATACCATAAACACGACAACTAAGCATAGTTCTCTATTAAAAACTTTAATAGTTGAATTGATAATTAAGTTTCAAAAGCTTTGGATTTTTTTCCCAACTTGAGTAGATTCAGGAAATCTAATCCAATTTTATTGTTTCTATGTGGAGTTAGATCTAGAAGAAGTTGTAGTGAATTGAGTTGCGACCTGCATATCTACAATCTATAATTTCAACTTCCCATGAAGGTAATATTTTATAATTTTATTCTCTTCTTCTATAATAAATAATTATCCAGATCCAATCCATGTAATGTTGATTTTTTATCAACGATCAATTATTATAATTTTAATGATTTAATATTTTATAAAAGATAATATTTATATATTTTTTCATTTTCCAGTATTTTTGTTTTAAATCACTTGTTATTTTCTCATTTTTTAATTTTACATTTATAGAGCCATTTATTATATATTGTCAAGGTTAACAATTATCACAAATTCCATGTTAAATACTTTGATTAGATAGCATTCAATAATCTATTGATACTGAATAAAATGTTTATTAGAAAATAATAAATAGAAAATACTAATAAACTAAAGATATTAATAAATTAATTACCTACTAGCTACTAGTTAAAAATTTAGTAATTTATTAGATATTATGTGGATACTTGATAGTATTTAATATCATATATATAAATAACAATAAATGATAACATTATATTTTATTAAATATCAAATATTTAAATTACTTCCTCTGTCCCAGAATTCTTGGGCTGTTTGGGGAATCCAAATTTTTATCGTATTGGTTTATTGTATATATAAGAGTGAATTTACAAATTTATCCTTGTTAAAAGATAAAATAGTACTCCATAGTTATTGCACTTATTTAGTTAAAAGGATAGTTTGGGAATGTTATATAAAAAAGAACATGAACTTTTGGAATGGGACATGTATTTTGAGACATCCAAAAATAGAAAGATGGACAAGAATTTTGGGACGGAGGGAGTACTAGTTAGTACTCGCTAGTTGTCAACTTGGCAATTATAGTGAAAAACAAAATTATTGATTTAAAACACATATAATTGTTATGTCAAATAGTCACTATTTGGTTTATAATTTAGAGTACATGATTGACATAGAATATGTAATTTTCATTCCAAATTTAGAAATGACACATCAAATATTGGAAGAGAATATTAATCTGAGTGGTAAATTTGATTGGACTCCCCTCCAGCACCTCAATTATTGGGACAACACTGGGATATGACCCTTTTTCTCTACATATTGGTTGGACTGCTGCAGACATCCTTATAGCAACAGAAATAAGGTTGATTGCAAACTTTGAGGGAAGATTATTGAAGGTGGATCACAGGCTTAAAGGAACACTTGACACTTTAAACAGGAATTATGATACCTTGTGAATGCCTTTCCAAAGAAGCTAGGAATTGGGATAGAAATAATAAAACATCTTCAAGAGAATAAGGAGAGCGAAACAAAAAAGGAGAGAAGAATTAGAGTCTCAACTAGGGGGACTAGTGATGAAGATGTGTGTGAAGTCTTTAGTGACTCAAGAGATGACCTACGCTCAGATATAAAGATAATAATAGCTTGACAAAAAAAAATTTGAAGCCACAACAAAAATATGAGATACAACAGCTCAGAAGAGCAACTGGAACCAACTCATCATATACTGCAGGAGGCAAATCGCGCCGTTCTTCTAAAGGTTCTAGTGCAGCGTTAGTGAAAAGTAAGCAGGTCAAGGTAGACCTGGAGATGGTAGAGGCATCACATCTTGGTCTAGTCGAGCACATAATGCTCGTGATGCTGTTGGGAATGGCCGTAAATGGATTAATAATGATAGCCTTGAAAATAGGTTAAAAGCACCGGATCCAGAATTGCAAAGGAGGAAGTTCTCCAAGCAACCAAAATTAACCGAAAACTATGAAGATGTTGAGGAAGAAATTGGGGGGATGTAGTGTCCAAGTTTATACTCCTTAATAATGTACCTTTCCATTTATGGATGCAGTCCATGCTTAATATTGCTACAGAAGTGGGAAAAGAGTGAAGGGAACTAATGCTCATGAGGCCTGGAAGCTTTACATTGCAACATAAATATGTTGCTGTGAGATAACAAAGAAAGAAAATAACTTTGAGGACATACGAAGAGAGAGAGGTGTAACTTCATGTGAAAATGGTTGAAGGATTGGAGGATTATGACTAGGAAAAACATTATAATCTTCTTAGTAAATTGTACCAAGGGTACAGTATTTCAAAAGTCAATTCATAAGTCAAGCGGACATGCATAATAACTTCAAGGAAATGGAAGAAAACCAATGCCACTACTGGCACTTCCACTTGCGCAACCATTAGCACCACAGGTCCACAACTATGACCATCCAAAGTTTCTAAAAGCAGCACCATCCAATCTGCTAAAGCCAACTACCCCAACTGCACCGTGATGCCTCAAATTTCAGTCCCGTCAACTATTTACAGACAGTATATAAAAGAATTACCAGGATAAAAGAAAATCCTGCAGCCGTTAAACCAGCAATTGAGTTGACTTGTACTTTTTTCTTACCTTCTTCTCAAGAGAAACACATACAGCTTCAAGAGATCTAACTTTCTGCAGTAAAAAATAAAAAATAAAAAGATTCAATTTAATAAAATTATAAGCTTGTGCCAAAAGATTATCTCAACGAGATTAAATATCACCTTCTGTAATTCTTGATCAACAACAACAATTTGTGATGCATAAAGCACTCTAACATCCTTCAAGGAGCATTTCCTGTTGCATTGAGGACACTGGGAGAAGGAAATTTTTGACAAGAAAAGAAATATATATAAAAAAATTTATCTTGATTGTTTGGAAAACAGGGAAATAAGTAATAACAAAGCATACCTTCCTTGAATTTCTACATTGTTTAAACCATTTGTTTATACAAGATAAACCATATAAGTGGCCGCAAGGAAGACAACTGCACTCCTCAAACCATATAATTGGATGAAAAGGAAAAAAGGTTACGTATCAAAATAACCATAACAATAATAATAATAATAATAATATGTAGATTAACAAATTGATGCTAAGTGAAGCAATTTTAAAATGCAATTCTCAAATGAAAATGAATGTGCAATACAACTTTTAACCATCCAATATGTACAGTAATATGAACATAAATGATAACAATAACAACAAAAAGTGCCTTTTGCCTATATACATAAATCGTATTTTTCATCATATTATACTTTATCTAAGGTCATTTTTTTATTTTTTCGATAAGTTACTTTATCTAAGGTCATAACCTCAGTCAAACCAAAAAGGGCTAGCCCAATGCACAAGGCTCCCGTTATTGCGGGGTCTGGAGAGGGTCAAATGTACGCAGCCTTACCACCGCATGGAGAGGCTGTTTCCGATTTCGAGTCTGTGAGGTAACAATGGTACCTCAGTCAAAACACGTCATCATATCTTTCCTTACTAACTCTACCATGTTAATTTTGGTTTTCCTCATCTCAAATGAAAATGTAAGCTTTTTGTTTCATCAAACATCATTATATACACTTCCGGCATTCAAGGCAGATATGAAATAAAACACCATGAGGCACCCTATCATTAACAAGATTCACATCTTAGCTTTGTTGTCATTCTGCGGCTTACATCATATATCCCTTCACCATCAGTCAGGTCTGTGAAAAATGGTGTGAAAAGACAAGGTCAATCAATTTTGAAAGTTTGATCCTATATGCATTTTGAAGTTGGGAAAAACTCGATTCAACTTGTCTAAATTATTGGTGCTTAACAAAGCTGGTTATTTGGACTTCTTGCAAACTGAAGAAACAAAAAATATAAGGTTTCTACTTCTCTTTTTTTATCAACATTCCATAGTACCACCAAAGGGCCTCTAGCCCAATGGTATAGCCTCCCAATCCTCAAAGAGGAGGGGAGGGGTTAGTGCCCCAGCGTGGGCAAAAGCGTGTGTGAGTACATAACTGATCCAAAAAAAAAAAAAACATTACACAATACCGCACCTTATTCTAGGTCTATTTACACTACAATTTCAGCAATGCAGATGGTGGCAACTGTGATTAAAAAAACTAAAAATATAAAAATAATAATAATAATAATAATAATAATAAACCTAATTTGCTCAACACATCAAACTTCTGTAAGAATTCTTGATAGATTGGTGCTGATACTACAACTGATAAAAGAACAGACAGAAGAAAAATTAAGTGAAAGAAATCTTCTTCCTCCTGCCCCAATAAAGTAATTGACAAAAACTCCAAGATGATTTAAAGTTTAGAACAAAAATACTAAAAAGTATAGAAGATTTCCAACAAAATTCCTAACAGGAACTGAAGTAGATAAGATTTCCTACAAAATTCCTAACATGAACTGCGATGGCTTACAGAACTAGGGACAGTGTTTGAAAAGTTGGAAATAGAACTGCTCCAATATAGAAATTGCAGGGACAATCACAAAAGACAGAAAATGTTTTAAAAGGTCATCAAATTTCATGGGAGTCCTAAAATTGTTCCAGTTCCAAATTCATGGTAAGAGGAATGTTTTCCTCATAGCTGCTTCTTCTAGATCGCAGGATTTTTAGCATAGCCTAGTACGGGGCCATCAAGGAAAATAGTCAATCCACATCGAACCAACACAAAACAGCCAGAAGGCCTGAAATACATAACATAGACTAGTATATTTTTGTCAAGACTTAAAGTGCTTGTTTGTCTTCGCACTCCATCCTTAGTAAGCAACATTTTTAAATGTTCCTTAATACAAATTAATTCCAAGTTTTTAATAAAACATATTAAACTGAATCTAGTCCATATACTTCAATACTCCCAAATCATTCTCACACATTGAGATCTTATGAATGAATCCTGCATAAGAAGCAAAAAAATTTCAAACAATTCTACTCAAGTAATAACAAATTTCATTCTTCATATATATAGATCCCTGGTCATCTTCGACAGTCCTCATTATTCCCCCAGCCATTCCTGAATTTCAGTTTGAATGCCAACTAATTCCTTAAATCAGAATTTGTTGCTACGCTGCATAGGTTCAATGTATATATGCCAAAATTAAACTGAGGAAAAGCAATAGTGTACAAGGAAAAGAGTAAACCATTCGAGAAAGTACATCTCGAATCTTGCTTTAAATTTTACTTCCTATGTCTATGTGAACTCCCAGTATTATCGTTTCTAGACCATTATTATGAAAAATTCCTGAAATTCAAAATTGATCACTCGCCCACCACCTCCTTCAATTCAAAGCTTCACCACGCATACAACCATGTGTTGAGACTACATAAAAATCTAAGTCTACGTTTATATGGTATCATATGGGTCATTGCTTGATGCAATGGCAAAGGCTTACAAGCACGAAGAATTGGGTTCAGGTACGAGATCAGTCACTATAGTACCAAAAATTCCCAACCAACTCACATGGGTGGGACCATTAACACTTGTGTTTATTATACATAGCTCTGTAATTTTTCCAAATTTTTAAAGATTTAAATTTTCTAATTTAGAAAAGTTCCTGAATCCAAATAGTTGTCTAGATTTAGTAATTTATGAGGAAATAAATAATGAAGCAAACTCGCACCAGATTTGATGTTCGCCACCGTTGGTCCAAACTTCCATGCAAATAGGGCAAAACAGACCATCAATTTCACTCCTATTCCACTCCCCTCCACTCGAATTCTCTCCATCTTCAACTCTATTACACTGGGACGATGATGTCTCACCCCCTCCCATTCTTCTCTGACTATCTTCATTCTCTTCAACAACATTCTCCGAACTCCGACCAATTACAGGTGCTGGTGAAACCCTAGGTGCCGGTGAAACCCTAGGTAAGACTTCCGCCCGAGGGGTATGTAAATAGTCTTCTTCGTGTGGGTCGTCCTCTTCTCCTTCATCGTTTTCTTCATCCTCTTCTTCGTCCTCGTCTTCGACAACAATGTCTTGGTCTTCGATAACAATGGCTTGGTCTTCGAGGAACTGTTGGATTTGATCGTACATTACTTCTTCTTCGTCGTCGTCGATGCGCTGTGCGTCGTTTGGGAAGTGACCCGCCATTGGAACACCGGAATTTCTTCTTTCTCGAAGAGCAAAAGCAATCGACCTATCGATCTGTGCGTATATAATACGAGTAGTATACAGTATATATATTCTAGAGAGAGAATAAAAGGGTTTCAGAGTTTCGGTGGTTCCTGGGTTTTAGCGGTTTCGCCTTGCGATTCAGCGCCTCTCTCTTTTCCAATCTCACTTTTGAGAAAGCTGTGGTGACGTGGATTTGATTCTCTTCTAAAAACAGTGCCATCATATAGATAAGTGTAACCGGCATACATTTGTCCACTTATCTGAACACTTTTAATGTCTTGTTTGGATTGCATTTCGAAAAACAGTTCAAGAACAAGTTTTAGTTTTTTTAAATTTCAAACCAACTTAGTTAAGAAAATTTACAAAACGAGAAAACAAAAATTCATAAAACTTACTGAATAAAAGTTACACAAATACAATATATAAAGTTTAATTAAAATTTGACTAAATTTAAATACAATAGAAAAGTTACATTAATTACTTCAAGTGTTGAGTTGTACAAACATTAATTTTAGTCATACATAACCAAAACAAAATATTAAAAAATTACACAAATAGGTAATCAAAGCAAAACATTGGAGAATTATAAAAATAACTTCATCTAGCATTGCCTCTGAATAATGCCCACATTTGATTTGTTAGATGAGTTCTAACAGCTCCCATTTGGGTGCACCATCATCAGATAAATTAAGTGCATTTACTACACCAAATGCTTTTTGGTACCTTGAATTTAAAGGAATCTTTGTACTCCTGCGTCAAATTCAAATGCATACAATCTATAAGGTCATCAAAATCTTCATTTGAATCACTAGACGATGTGTCACTCCAATCTATGTCCATCTTGATTTTCCAAGAACCTCGACAAAACAAAGTTTATGTGCTATAATTAAACTAAAAAATTGAAGAACAGTTTTTTGTAACTCCCAAAACAAAAAACTGTTTTTTGTAAACCCTTTTTCAGCAATGAAAGGAGTCAAAATATCACATTTTTTTCCTTCCTTTTTTACTGGGGATAATAAACAATTTTAACAAAGCATGACCTATAATTAAACTTTCACAACTATCTTACACAGAATTTCCTTCATGAGTTTCTAGTTTAGTTGCAATAAATTGCATTGTTAAACTTCTTGGAAATGGCTAATGGATATTTAAAGGTACAATATCAACATTGGAAGAAAAGTGTTGTGGCACTTTTAAACTATATTTTACTGGCATTTTTTCCTTTGAATATTTTATGAACCAGTAAACCATCACAAATCAATCTAGTGACAATTATAACACATTATTCACATAGGTTTGTTAAGCCCAGCTAGTTTGCAGCCACACAGGCAACACTCAATCCCTTAGGACTCTCCATCTCCATGGCATAAGTAAAATTGATTTCTAAAGTCTTCCATATTTGTGTGGAGATTGTGGAGTATTGTAGGGAAAGTTGAAAGATTATAGAACATTAGATAACTTATAGAGATTTCTAAAATATTTGGGAGTTATGTAAGTTGAAAATATCTATGATATTTATGTGGAGAGTTCTAGTTCTAAATAGTAGAATTTAGCCTAGCCACTTAATTGTAATGGGCCTACCTATATATATATATATATATGTGTAGGATCAGGGACGAAGCCAATGAAGGGCCAGGAGAGGCACCTGGCCCCGCCTTCTATAATATATGTAGTAATTTTTTATATTTTTTCTATATATATGAAAAATTATATATAGTGCCCCTCCTGGCCTGGTCCCGCCCTCTATGATATATGTAGTATTTTTTTTTTATATTTTTCTATATATATGAAAAATTTTATACAGTACCCCTTCAAATTTTGTAGTTTCTAAAAAACTTAAATTTTCCTTTCTCAATTGAAACTCTTAACTTTTTTTCTTTTAAAGTTCTCTTATTTTTCTTTTATTTTTCAATTTCTACTTCTTAAAATTCATCTTTTTAACGTGCATATTTGAATTTTTTTTTTTCTTCTTCTTTTGTATTTTATATTTGTAATGTTTACATATATATATATATATTTTGCACGGTGCTCGCCTTGACTTGAAATCCTGACTCCGTCATTGTGTAGGATGAAAGTTTAGTCGAACCAAAAAGGATGACTGTTGAAGGTGAGGGCCACTACAAAACACCAAATTGCTCATCAAATTAACAGTGAAAAAATATGAACTTAGAGTCCAAGATTGAACAAATAGAAAATAACAGAGACTGTAAATCAAAAAACAATTTTTTACATGCCACATATTTTTACCAAATAGGAAACAAAAAGTTATGATCACAATTTTTTTGATATATGTATATCGTATGTCTAATGCATATATAAAATTACATCCGGTGAAAAGCCTAAAAATGAAGAAATTGGGCAAAGTGAATCTTTTCCAAGAACCTACATCAGATGTCTTGTTATAACATGTATGGTTATGTTCTTAGAATTGACAAGAACTAAAAAGCAAATCCCTAATTCTGGCTATGTGCTTAGAAAATTCCAATTTAATCAATCAGATTATTCCGAGGCAATTAACACCATCATATTAATACCATCAAATTATTTAAGCATTTTGTTGTGAAAAAATAATTAGATGATGCCAACAACATTCTGTGAAAATGATTAAAGTAGGATGGACTTTCCATTATGTTTGCCTGAATTAAATCCCAATTGATACAAGTCAATTAACACCATTGTTTTGTTGTGCTGCATAATTTCTGTTCACATTGTTATAAGGTCAAAATGGGAGTATAGAGAACACTAATCTATCAGAAATAAAAAGAACTATGAATAGAAGACAACTTCAGAGTCAAACTGAAAGAGAAATTTAACCCCAAAATAAGAGAGATATAAAGTCAAAATTAAGGAACTAACAAAAATAAAATTAGAGCAATACCCAAAATTATAATTCAGAAAAATCCCAAGAAAATCTAACAAGCACTCAAAATCATCATCAAAAAATAAAAAGAGACTATACCCAGATGATAGAATAAATAACTGGGTTCGATGCAAAATTCTAAGCTTCAGTCAATAGATATGAATTAATAATATAGAACAGATGATTAATCAACAATATCCTCAAGAGCGACAGAGAAAGACTCAGCCTAGCTTCTTCAATTTGCTCTCTGCTTCTCTTGAGAGAGATTAAAATGGTCGAAAGCCACGAAACATCAATCTAATTAGCCTCTAAATATATGCATGCATATATATATATATATATACATATATATATTGCTCTATCCGAAATGAAAAAAAATTCTATCAATTGATAAGATCATAGACGATTGTGAGAGAAAAATCGCAGATCTTGTATGGATTAAAGAAATTTGAGGGTTAGAGAGTTCTACCTGAACAGAGAGACGATTGTGAGGAGAGAAATGCAGATTTGGCTTGAAGAAATCTGAGAGAGGGCTCTTCAAAGAGGAGGAGAATCTAGAGATAAAAGGTCAAAACCCTTGTACAGCTAATTTAACGTTATAAACAAGATCAGAAAGAGAGGTTGAAGAGAGAGATGATGCATTGCAGAGGGGTTGAAGAGAGAGAAGATGGATACTGCGCGGCTTTGTGTTATAAACGACCGAGAGTTTACGTAGTTTTTGTCTGTACTTTCAAGTAGCGTTTAGTTCTCCGTGTTTTCCAATTTTGCATCTCAGTGTTTTCAAAAAATTGTTTTTATAAAACAGATCCAAGCAGACTAATTTTGCAATTTTCAAAATTTTGTTACTATAAAAACAAAAAACAGTTTTTATAAATCCAATCCAAGCAGGGCCTAAGTTTTTTTTAGTAATATTGCATACTCACTCATTTATACCCATTCATTCTCCCAGATCTGATATGGGACAAACTCCCCCTTGTAACATTCTCCTTACCTGAACTCGCAACACCTCATTATGAATCGAGCCACCCAGTCTATCCGGGTAAAGACCCGAACGCCCTCCTGGTCGTGCGCTTGGTGTGACACCGGATCAAGGATTGGGTCTGGCTCAAATACCAACTGTAACGAGTGGACGTTTACTCATTTATCAAAAAATTTAAACTATTGGTATTGCATACTGACTTATTTATACTCATTCATTTTCCTATCTGGATCTAATGTGAGACAAGCTCCCCCTTGAAACAATAAGATATTGGGGGGAGCCAGGCATACCAAGTAGGCTAGGGGTGGCAATTGGGTTGTTTTGGGTTAGTTATAAATGGACAAGTTAGTAATGGGTCAATAACCCATTATCAGTTCATTTATAGCGGATCATAAACGGGTTGGATATTAAATGAGTAAATGAACCCACACCCAACTCATAGAGGAGAGAGAAAACGGAGGAGACCGAGAAACAGATGAAAATGAAGAAAGAGAAAAAAGGAATAATATTGAAGAGAGAGAAAATAGAATTTTGTTTGAGCGCGTTAAGATGGATACCCATCATTGACCCTTGAATTACATGGCAAGCTGAACTCACCTACACTTTTCTTTTTCGTTTCTTTTGTTTATAATTAAAAAAAAATTCAGACAAAATAAAATTACAAAAGCAACCCCAAACAACACAACACTTAGTTTTATATTTTGAATATCAAAATTGCCCTTATCTATTAAGCTTAGGACTATTGAATTTCAAATGATTCATTTTGAAAGCAACCAAAAAAAAAAAAAAAAAAAAGATGTAGAGTACAATAAGTAATTCGGAGGGAATATATATAATGATGATGCAAAAGTTTGAAGCTTCATTAGACATGAGCGGTGGATAATTTCTTGGTTATTCACTGATTTGGCTTCCTCTGTTGGAACAACATAATAGTTGCTTGTGCTTGATTCAGTCATCTGGACACTTTTCCCTATTGGAAAGTTCAACTTCTGATCCATCTATCGAGCTCTCATTCCTCCTTCCCCCTCTATTATGTAGCACACAACTCTATATGGTTTCCAAACCATATACCTCGATACTCTTTCGTCTATTGGCTTGCCCTCAGTCACAAACTCAAAACTAAGGTCAGTCCTTGCCTTGCGAATAAGATTGTTCATAATTATTGCCCTATGTGCCTTGCTAAAGCGGAGAGTCATACTTACCTCTTTTTCAAATGCAAGTTTTTCTCGTTATTATGGATATGTATTTTTCAGCATCTTGTGTGGGATTTATGTTGGGGATTTCAATGTCTTCTATACGCAAATTGGGTCGTTTCTTGTAAACTGCCAAATCCAAATCTCGAGATGCTTTTATATTCAGATTGTGCCTCACTACT